CTCCAAAGTGGCACCCAAATGTTGCTATAGTCAACCAGAATACAAATACATTCAATGATAATGTAATTACCTACTTCAGAAAAGTTTTAAAAAGCAGACAAAAACACACAACACTGGACAAGTTCTTTATTAAATCAAGTACTACTAAATCATAGGCAAAACAGACCCCACGATCATAATTGGAATTGCCTAATGTTTTAATTGATATGTCTTCTTCTAAACAATAATACTACATTAATAATACTGTTCTTTCCCTTCTACCACTATACTGTATTTATTTAGTACAATAAAGATAAAGTTTTACAAACAACATAATTTTTATTCTTGTACCTTTTTTCAGGATGGAAACAGATTAATTGAATATCAGTTATTTATTATGAGAAAAATTGTTTCTATAGTCATCATATTCCATATTCATTAGGTCCTTAGGAACAGATTAAAGACGAATATAGAGGTTCCACTGTACTTTAAATTTTTTCAAATGTTTCCACAAACCTTAAAATAGAAAGTGCTGCCTGATTCTAGACAATTTAAAGATGTAGAATTTTACTTAAGTTCCTTACTTGTCACAACACTATATTTCCCTTTACAGTACAACACATGTTTTCCATACTTTTCAACCCAGTTTACAAAAAATACTTCTCAATGACTGGAATATAATACTAAGTACAATCAACTAAACCTTTAAAATTTTCAAAACTGGAAGTTAATGTCAAATTGACAAATGTTGGTGACCTGAAGCAGATCTTGGTTAAAATCAAAAACATTTGTCAATTTGACATTAAAATTTTCAAAACTGGAAGTTAAAGGTTTAGTTGATTGTGTCTGGGGTAAACTTTTAACAGTACTTTTATTCCCAGGGTCTATTTGAACCCTGGGTTTAATTGAGGAAACACAGAAATTAAAATACAAAAATGTAATATGCCTATAAATAAAATAAAATTTACTAAATTAAACTTTGATTGTTTTGATTATATTCTAAATCTTATTAAAAATGAACTGATAAAATACAAAAATGTAATACTAATCTGTGGACAAGCATTACACCAGAAAAAGATATTACATTATATTAAGTATACATTATTTACAANTATATATATATATATATATATATAAAATTAATATGTTTTAGCTTATACATAAAGTATAATCATCATTTGGCTTTTATAGGACTTGATACCCCCACAAAAGCCTAACTGTAGGTTTTTTGCTATTTTCAACATCTTTCCATCTTATTCTATATTCCTTCATTTTATCTCCCAAATCCTTGTCTCTACATCTACACCATTTTTTTTTCACTTCCTCTCCCCATATTCTGTTTGGTTTCTTTCTTGATAGTGGTCTGTTTATGTGAGGACCTGGACATGATTGGATCCTTCACCAAAATCCCTGAATTTTAATTGTAAAAATAATTCCTTTTAATAATTTCTATACTATTGAGAAATTTTGAATGACTGGAACTTTGGAATAATAACTATCAATTCTTGATTTAAACAATGTTAAATCCCAAGATCAGTAAACATCCCTAGTTAGAATTGGATATCAGTATCAAATTAAACATCAGTGTCAACCATTCCCAAGTCTGAGTTGGTCTTGAATTACCTCTGGAAACAGGTAAGATACCAATCAGGAAGTGAAGTTGAGGACAAAGACCAATCAGGATGTACAATCAAGTGGCAAATCTTATAAAAATCTGTCCCTCAAGGGCACAGCACACATTCTTGATCAGTTTCTATCTGGCCCATCTATCTTCTTGGATTAATTTTGTGCTGCTGCTGTATTCCTATTTGCCACTAATTTTTCTTCCCTTGTTGAACTGTATATGCTTGTGCTCTCTCTTTGATAAGACTGACTGCCCTTTACTACTCTGAGGATCAGGAACTTTCTATCCCTTTCTGACAAACTCTCTCAGCATGGACAGCTAACTGATAAAGCCTGGAAAACTGGCCTTCGTGGACTTTCATTAAAGTCGGAATAAATCAAGGATCATATAAGAGTATCTCTTTCAATAAACAGTATTATCAAATAATGAACCTTCATTTATACCAAACATACATACCCACATGCATGATTCCATTCTGTTTGCACCTATTTTCTCTCCAGTGTAATTTCTACCTTTTTAGTGAATGTTTCAGTATTGAGCTATAATGAGAGTCTCATGGGCCACATAGTTTTTTTCAGAGCACCAAATACTTTTTCAGCCTATTACTACTTATGTAGACAATAAGATATCTGCCATCTACATATTTGGCTCTTTCATTATTAATGATTAAGAGTTCATATAGTACTAAACCAAACAATCGCCATAATTAATTGGGCTATTATTTTGCTATAATTAATAATTAAATATTAAGTAATTTTTGGTATTAAAGGTAGACATTAGGCATCATATCATATCTAAACTAATAAATTATTAAATTATTATAATTAATGTATTAAATAATTTAGAACAATCTGGAAAAAATTATAGCAAAATAATAGCCTGATTAATTAGTGATTGTTTGGTTTACTATCAATGCATCAGGCTTCTGGATGTTTATTATAGGTTCATACAATTTATTGTTTTTTCTGCTTACATAAGACACATTATATGCTTTGAAAATAGGACCAGATACTTCGTGTACAACAATAAATATTTATTCCAAACTTTATAATATAATCTTTCTGAAGAGCACTATATTAGTTATATTAAAAATCAACAATAAATTAACATTTATAATTTTTTAATTGTAGCTCTTTAAAAAATTCTTTAAAAAAATAAAGGATTTCTCATCAGCAAGTTCAATTTAATTTATAAGTTAATCACAAGATTAACTTCTTGAATTTTTTCCCATATAAGAGAAAAGTTTGATTTCTCTTATATAGAATTAAAATTTTAAAAACTTACATTATAGCTATTGTTCCCTTTCCTTTGTTCAAGTTATTAATGATATAAATTTCTAAAGTTACCAGAATAATAATTATACATGTTTTGTGAAATTATCATCTTATAACATGTAAAAATACTTGAATATATGTAAACCAATAAACATTTATTCATTGGTTTAAATAAAATTTAAAACCTAAGTATATAATAATAAAATTCAACTTGTCTTTTGTGTTTATGTAGCATTACAATTCATATTTAATTATTAAAACTGTTTATTAGTTTTCTTTACCATCTTGCATGTTCAAGTCAGAATGTTTTCAAATTTTTCCTTGATTCTTAAGATACCTTTCTATCAGTTTCATAGTTATTATTATTCTTTATTGCATTGAATTTGTTACTCATTTCTATCAGTTACATCATAAGTTAGTTTGCTGTAGAAAATATTATAGTAAAATTTCTAAATTTTAATGTTTTTAATAATTTAATTAAAATCTTAAAACAGGTGCCTGTACATGCTTGTTACATTACTATCAACTACACTGTTAAAGATTAAAAAAATCTATCAAATTTTTAAAACAAACTGTTTAAGATACTCAACATGAATAAAGAATACAGAGGCTGTAGTTGATTAAATCATACAGATGAAAATTTATTTATTATTATTATAAACACAAAAAAACTAATTAAATAATATTTTAAAGCTTGCAACATCAATAAAACATATTTATGCAAAAAGCACAAATGTTTATCCACATTTAAAGAATAAAAAATAATAAAGTAAAATGCTTATGCTCTAATTTATTTCATTTGAATGTATAAAAATAATCTTTATTCAAGCTATATAGAATCACAAAATTATTTTCTGTTAATACTATTTTGCATCTGTAACATCAGCTGTTCATTTTCATGTAACATTAATTAATTTTCTCCAGTAAGATTTATATTATAGTTAATTTCTTTTAACTTATATTGTTTGCGTATAAAAGAAAATAATCATATTGCACAATTAATTTTTATTATAGCAATTTAACTATAAAAATTCTTTATTTTATAAAAAAAAAACAAATACTCATTTGTAAATTTAAATTTAAAGTTCCAGATCAACGTTAATTCCCCTAAAAAAACAAATTGTTTTGATTTTAAATTAAGATAAATTCCCAACAAAATAATAATAAAACATTTTAATTCTTATAATTATTTCATCTAAATTAATATATAAAAATACATTTTTGCACTAATCATTCAAAATGAAAAATCAATTATGCAGAATCGAATTGGTTATTATTATATTTACAATCAATTTATTTTCTATTAAAATTTCCACATCATAAATTCTTACATGCATTATTATTTTTCAATTTAAATCAAACAAAACTAAATTTTTTTTTATTTAAACAATCTACAATTATTTTATATTACTTCATTAAAAAAATATGTGTACTAATATATTAATATTGTATATACTTGAAAATATATATATATTCAAGTATATACAATATTAGTACAATTTAATATTGCATAATAAAAATAATATTTGTAAACTCAGTTTGATTTCAATTACCGTGATATTTTCTACACAAAATAATATAATTGTAGGGACAATTTTTTTTTAAATTTAGCATGAAAAGGAAAAAAATGTTTGCAATATAATAAATCTATATGCCTATAATGGAACAAGGAAATAACCATATATATTAAATTTACTCAGAATTTTTTAAAAATTGATACATTACCTATTACTATATATAAAGTTAATTACATATTTTCCCATATAAACCTTTAATGTACACATAAGAATTAATATATGCTGCATAAATGTATAAAGTTTACATGATAATTTATGAGTTTGAAACATAACTAAACAGTATTTATATACATTTTCCAAGCACATTGCTGACATTTAAATTATTATAACAAATCTAATCCGCGTATACAGGAAGGAATGTTTAGATATTGTATATGACGAGAAAAAAATTAAAAAGAAAAAAAGAATATATAGCCATATACCTCAGTAGAAAACATCTTTAAAAGACAAATTACGGACAGACAAACATATGGACGTATCGAAAAATAATTAAATTTTATACAGTTTCTATTCGATTAAATTAATATAAGAAAGATTAATAATTACCTTATGGTTGATGAATTATCTTAGAATCGATTATTTTCTTGCAAAGATGAAATGACGCCATTTCGTCGCAACTGGTTCTGAAACGTTTCGTTTTCCTTATTCTTTCTTACCCCCCCTCAATAATGCGTAGTCTAGATGACTCTCTTCTTATTACACACACATATTACATTATGTCTTTTTTTAATAATTTTTTTATTTTTATTATTATTACAAAAAATACTTTTACGATATCGTAATTTATTTATTTTATTTATTATATATTTACTGAGTAAATTGTTAAAAGTAAACATTTATTTTACACTTTCTTCGAACGGCGCCATCTGTAGTAGATTGATGTATATTATAAAAGTTGATAAATAGAGCATCGCCAATCGTCATCGTCATCATTTAGTTCGTCCGATCGACGCGAGGGGGGTTTGTTTGTTTGTTTCGTATGGGGAAGGTTCTGTTTGTTTCTGTTTTCGGATTATTATTATGTTTTTTTTTTTTTGTATAAAATATTTTAAATTTTATATATTTTTTTTATTTATTTTTATTGTTTTAGATTTGTTTATCCATTTTTATTAAAAAATAAAATAAATTATAATTTAAGCTCCCTTTTTTTAATAGCGTAAGAAGGAAAAATAATGTAAAAAATGATCAGTGATGTTTTATTTGAGATATCGAGTGGAATTTTTTGTAAAAAAAAACTCAAATTTTTTTGCTTATTTGTTAATTTAAGCAAAGATCATCGGTTCTGCTCAAACGATTAAACATTAGAACTAATTTTTTTATTCTTTGTAATAGTCCAGGAAAGCGGATATAATACGGTTGGATAGATAATTTTCGGTTTTACAGAAAATTTAAGAATTATTCAACCGTAAAAGATCATTTTGATTTTGTAAAGAATCGCATTCGTGTAAAAAGCATTGCAAACGTAGCGCGTGATGACGAAATCAGGATGATTTTGGGTTTATGCCAATAGAGCATTGATTATATCAGTAACAACTGATACACACCTGTACATTTTTTTTAATTTAAGAGTTTAAATTTATTATAATTTGCAGAAGGATAAACTTTGATTAAATAAAATTTATTATTTTATGTCAATATGATACAGTACATTGTAATGGAGAAGAATAAGTAATTGTATGAAAATTCACCAGTTATGTGGATATGTAGTAGTAAAATACAGTAACCGGTGACTACATTTTCTCTCCTGATTTTTATTAACGTAATACTATTAAGAAACTCTTTTGATGTCATATGACAGGTCACAAGAAATTCATAAAAATTACGTATAATTAAAGTATGTAACTATTGTGAAAGTTAAGGATGTACGAGACAAATATTCCAACAAATACTAACTAAACAATAGTTTATTACAACCAGAATTAACAGGTAATACAGTGATGCCCGTCAGAGACACATACACAGATAGATATATATAAGTCTCTGTTCTCGTTCGGATTCTTACAATGAGTTGTTCTCACGATACGGATTCGAATTAATTACTAACTTATAACTAACTAAATCTAACACTACACTAAGGAGAGGAAAATGAAGGAAGGAAAAGTATACCGGTATTTAGCACAGGAGGTCCTGATTGTGGTTTCTGATGATTGTGGGGATTTTGTCGATCGACATTGGAATATCCAACATTCCTGGTATGATAATTGTCACTTGGGTTTTGTAGACCACTATTTCTTATTGGACAAGTCACTAGTCCTTTTCTTTTCTTTTAGGACTACTCGATACTCAGCACGTTCGGCTTGTTCTTTGTCCTCGAGGTCCGACTTAATGTCCCGACGATACTTTCGCAACCTCTTCTCTTCGTCGCCCGGGCAAAAAGTGTCTTTCTCACCCCTTTGTTCTCCTTCTGTACCCCACGGGCAGGGCCCCTCCCTGTTCACGTCGATAAGCCACCAATCAGGACCCACGAATTTCCCGCTCCTGTCGGGTGACCGGAAATGGTCATTAGTAGAAAGAAGAAGGAAAGGAAAGAACAAAGAATTCTAAATCTAAATACTATAACTATCCATACGTTTCTATATTCAACGGTTGACTCAACAGTGAATTTTCCGTTGAGTCCCTCCGTTGAACGATCTGACGTCACGTTTTGCAGAAAAAAGAAACGCTTTCGTTGAGAGGTCGCTTTTCAAGATGGCTGACTTAAGTAACGAGAAGGTGGCGATTGTGACTGTTTTGCTAAATAATTAAAGTAACTCGCTTAACCATTATTCGAATAAATCCTTTTATTCAAATGAACCCGTATCTGTATCATTTTTTTGTATACTGGGTCTTTTTTTAATTAATAATTTTAATTAATTTCTTGAATATTTATATCATTAGGAAGACTTAGCGGGCCAAATATCAGTCGTAATCAATTTTGGACAAATGAAAAAATCTTTATATTTCAATATTGACCAAATTATCCAACATAATCGTGCAATCACGTGTTTTATCATATACAGATTGTTCATTAATCTGTTCGCTATTACAGCATCCACAGCAGCGAATGGATAGTTTCTATAAGCGAAATTTACTTTTTCGTGGAAGCCGCCATGTTAGTTTGTTGACTACTCAACGGTCTTTCAGGTCGTTGAGACCGTTGAGCTCAACGGTGAAACAGCGCTGACGTCACTAGTCTCAACGGAGAACTCAACGGTCCATTTAGAAACGTTGTTCTCTCACCGTTGAGTCAACTGTTGAATATAGAAACGTACGGTATGTATATACAAAAATGGCGGACAGCCACACTATAACTATGTCATGATAAAAGGCTAAAGTAATTTTTAATTGATTCAAGTGAATCTAAATTTATTATACAGTATTTGAAAATGTTGATTTTCTTTTTGAAACCGTGTCCTGTTTTATATTTGTGGCGTAATAAACACTAGTACTGTGTTTTATTCCAAAGACACATGGCAAATTTTTCATCAAATTTATTTATTAGTTGATACGGTACATTGTTTTGTACTCGTTTCGGGCTTTGCCCCTCTTCAGTCAACTAAAATACAATATATATATTTAACTTATTACAGTAGAGAGTTTACATAAAATAATGAGTACATAAACGATATATAGACGTACCTTTTGGTTACACTTTGTATAATTTAAAAACGTAAAATCTGCTTTAATCTTTGTGTAACTAGTATATACTGTATAAACTTTTAACCTTTTAATTTATTTATAATATATACTAGTTATACAAAGATTAAAGCAGATTTTACGTTTTTAAATTATACAAAGTGTAACCAAAAGGTACGTCTATATATCGTTTATGTACTCATTATTTTATGTAAACTCTCTACTGTAATAAGTTAAATATATATATTGTATTTTAGTTGACTGAAGAGGGACAAAGCCCGAAACGAGTACAAAACAATGTACCGTATCAACTAATAATCAACTAATAAAGGAATTTGATGAAAAATTTGCCATGTGTCTTTGGAATAAAACACAATACTAGTGTTTATTACGCCACAAATTTGAAAATGTCTTCTCTACTTAATATACATATGATTTGAAATTGCCCACCAGTAGCCAAGCGGTCTTCGTACCCTGAACACTGGTAGTTCGGTCGAGGGTTCGTGCCTCGCTCGGATGGGCTAGCCACGTGGAGTTTTCCCAGTTGGATACTTTCCGTGAAAATTTCTGGGATTCTCAGGTGAGCAGTCCTCAGACCAGTAGCGTAGCGTGGGTGTCAGCCGGCCGGGGCGGAGGAAAATTTCATCGCCCCCATATTTAGGTATCTCAATTTAAAAGACTAAAATTCAGTTTCGTCACAGAATAAGTAATGAAAAATTCCGTGCTCATTTCAATCGGTCCGAATCGTAGGTGCGACAAAAATATGAAATGGTTCAAATTTTTACAAGATATTATTATTATTATTTATTGTGAAATTTTGCCGCCCCCTAAAAGTGCCGCCCGGGGCGGCCCACTATGCTACGCCACTGCTTCACAGACTAAGTTATAAATCCTACCATCCTATTTCGTACCAACAGAAAAAACGTATAGAGTATTCACTTTAGCAATTATCCCGGCACAAAAGAGATCTTTTCAGTACTGCACGAGTATATGCATAGATAGTCTACAGTTGTAGGCCTATTAGTTCTACCGCGATGTTTTCAATAAAATAAATTATCGAAATACGAAATCGGCGTCGTATTGCTATATGATATGTAAAGATCGTATTTTTAATTTGTTCTTTGTTCTTATGTTTGAAATTTTTGGGTATTGCCGCAGAACTTCTGCGCTATTTACACATATTTTTTTTTGAATTAATTAATTATTTTAGTGTAAACATCGCAGAGAAATTAAGGCTCCATAAACTATGAATATATTGACGGCCGGATAACCGAGCGGCTAAAGTGCCAACCTACCACTCTGGGTTCAAATTCGTACGGGTCGAAAATCTCAGGGATTATTCAGGAAAGTGGTCCGTCCGAATATGTCGAGTTCAGTCCCTCACCACCTGGCCGCCTCGTTGTGAGTCTGACCAAACTCATAATAGGCTTGCTAAAAAGAGGTCCTCTTGGTGCCCACAAGGTGGACGGAGTTTTAAAAAAGACCTAATATACTCGTGCAATGCTGAAAAGATCGCTTTTGCTTCTGGATAAATGTTAAAGTAAACACCCTCTATATTTTTCCTTTGGATTCTGTGATAATCTTCTCACCTGGATTCAATACCGAATCCCTAGAGCGGTAGGATAACACCTCAACCATCCGCCATCGAATGGGTGTTAGCATCAGAAAGTAGATGTAAAAATTGTATGGAACATTAATCCAGTTTGAATATTCCATACGATTTAGCTTAAATTTGTTATAGTAATTATACATAGTATTTTATATCACGACTTCTGTTCCGTTTTCTTGAAGCTGTAGCGTGCCCAAAATACTCGTCTAATTAAACAGTATATTATCAAATATGTAATTCAAATTCTCAGCATTCAAAAGGACAAGAATTTGTTTCATTGTAAAAATAACATTTTTATACGAAGTATAAGTAAAAAAATATATAACTTCTGAGAGGTTGATCGTCGTTTCTTCGAATCTCAATCCACTAAATACAGTATTTCTGCTCGACTTTTTCTTCTCTGAATTAATATAAAAAAAGATGCAGATATATGAATGAAATTATCTAAATTATATACATAATATTAGTAATTTTCAATCGATATAATAATCATTTAATAATCAATGAAAAAAAATTATTTTATAAAACTTATAATAATTTTATTTATAAGGATTTTGTTTGATTTTATAATACTAAAATATACACTAGATTCAATTCTAGAT